CCCGTGGTGGGCAGAGCACAGATAGCCCATTGTGTAACTTTGTGCCTAACTTCAAACAAACCGTTAACTGGTAATTCAGTGAGAGGTACAGTGTAACCAAACGTTAACACTCAATTCATTTAAAATTATAGTGTAACAAGACTGTTAAATGTCAAATCAACGGAAGGTATAGTGTAACAAAGTGTTAAAAGGTAGTTAAATGAGAGGTACAGTGTTACCAAACTGTTAAAAGGTAGTTAAATGAGAGGTATAGTGTAACAAACTGTTAAAAGGTAGTTAAATGAGAGGTATAGTGTAACAAACTGTTAAAAGGTAGTTAAATGAGAGGTACAGTGTTACCAAACTGTTAAAAGGTAATTAAATGAGAGGTATAGTGTTACCAAACTGTTAAAAGCCAATTTAGTGAGAGGTACAGTAACAAGACTCTTAACAGGTTATAACTCGAAGATACGATGTAACCCAAAATGTTGACTCGCCATTCAGTCTGAAGAACAGTGTACTGAATCTTTTAACAATAGACACACCGTGTTCCCAAAACTGTTAATCGGGTAAATGAACAGTTTTTGCCAAACCAGTAACAGGTTAACCAAACCATATAAAGGCAATTATTAAGAGGAAATCGTGTGTGTAAAAAGAAAGAACACAACAAAATTTAACAGCTGCAGGCACTATCAAATGATATTAAGTTCAAATATAACTAGTAACATGAGTCATAATGTGACCTCATCTGACGAAACTTCTAATGAATTCAACTACAAAATCCTTTTTAATTATTCATCGGTGCACAGAGAAACGTGATTCAACATGCTGGCATTCTGCAAGAAATGTATTCCAAATGATACAGGACACAAAGTTCAATGAAACTGTAGCTTTTAAAACTGGCCGAATTGTCGGCAATGAAATCGAAAAATTATTTTTGAAAGGTTCAGCGAATGCTAATGCATTAGAAGAAAAATAAAAGACTATATAAATTCTGATGTTTTAAATCAACGTGTGTCATTTACTTAAAACTCCATAAAACTCCCCACACACACACAAAACTTGCAGAATGAGCATAAAAATAGTTACAACGTTGAAGAAGTTCAGAAAACACAGATGTTCTTATAATAAAGACTTATTAACTACAATATTCTCTTAGACCCGGCATGACCAGATGGTTAGGGTGCTCGACTCACAATCTGAAAGTCGCTGATTCGCATCCCCATCCCACCAAACATGCTCGCCCTTTCAGGTGTGGGGGCGTTATAATGTGACGGTCAATCCCACTATTTGTTAGTAAAAGATTAGCCCAAGAGTTGACGGTGGGTGATGGTGACCTTCCCTCTAGTCTTACACTGCTATATTAGGGACGGCTAGCGCAGATAGCCCTCATGTAGCTATACTCGTCTATACAGAATATTCAGAACTTTTCTGCCATACTAGGGTAGTAGTATTTATAGCAGGCTACTTTCACAAGCTGCTTTAGCATTTGAGAACATTTTGTTTTCAAACCATCAGACAGTTTTATCATGCAACAAACGTTTGTTAAATTAAAGTGTCCCCGATACAAACCCAGTAGATTTGTGCACATCATGGGTCAACATAAGGCCTAAGAAATCGACTGTTAACAGATGGGTCAACATAACGCCCGTTAACAAAGAATGTGGTTCTAACGTGTTTACGCAAGATACAAACAAACTACCAGCTGAGATCGTTGCCTTATAAAGAATCTGTGAATACGTGTTTTATTTATCCAATACCTTCATCTACGTGTGGTAAAAAAACAAAAGCAGTTGTTTTTTCCTACTTGACACCAAGAAAGACACATACAAGCTGAGATAACAATTTACGTCCACTGATAAAACGTCAGTCACTGATGATACATTTAAATCAAGTTATGTACAAGAAGCAGTAGTTTACTCATTATCAGTGGCATCCGTTTTAAGCTGGTGTTAGTTTTCACGTTACTTTTAAGCATAATATCCTTTCGCCCGTCTCACGTGTGTGCTTTTTATTATTATTATAGCCCCCCCCCCCCCCAGTGGCACAGCGGTATGTCTGCGGACTTACAACGCTAGAAACCGGGTTCCGATACCCGTGGTGGGCAGAGCGCAAATAGCCCATCGTGTAGCTTTGTGCATAACTTCAAACAAACAAACAAAGCCATCTATTTAAGTTATTATATTGGACCACTCAGCGAATTGCTGCAGTGCTATTTATTTTAACGGATTTCTTTCTTGGAGAGAATATTTGGAACTCGAACATATTTGAAAAATTTATATAAGCTGAAATAAAGAATCTCAATTAAATTATATAAATTTGTCTTTAAATATAAATTTAATTTACCTGAATAGAATCTTCTATCGATTGGCTAGTAAAATATGATAAGGATTCAAAAGATAGTGAAAGCTTATTATGAATTATGTTTGATTTTCTAGAAATGATAAATTTCCTAAATTAACGATGTACACTCGTATAGAAAGGCATACAAACAAACAATACTTTGTACCCAATGCCCTGTCCACTAAAGTTTTGCTTCGTTTCATTCGTCTGATTTTATAGACATCCTTTGCACATGCCCAGTCCATGTGACTAACTAATTCACGAAAACAGCGTTGGTGGCGTTCTTCATGCCAGACAGCTTGCCAGTCCAAGTTACTTCTACACGGAAAAATAAATATCTTTTTTTTATATAAATAATTAACACTGGCATTGTATGGATCGTTAATCACATATTTGAAATACAGATTAGGAAATAATATATTCCAAACTTTTTTATATTGTTCGTTACTATATAGTAATGTTGTAATCAATGTAATCAAATCAAACGTAAACTGTAAAAATAGCTCAATTATATGGTTTCCTAGACTTTCATGACGGACATACTTATTGAGTCGCGCCCATCACAGAATATTAAAACATACCAACAAAATGGCGCATTAAACTGAAACATTCACACTCAAGAACAAAGTAACTCTTGTCAGCATGAATATTCATAAATATATACATTATAGTAATGATATTATGAATTAATGTGTGGAACAAAGTAAAATCAAATTTTGATTGAAAAATTATTCTTTCTCTACTCTTATTACCATCCCGTTAGCAACTCTTTTTAATGGTTTTATTTTTCATAACTTAGGTATGAAAATGAGATGATAATCTTGTCTTTTATCAACACTTGCTATATCGTCATTGGAGTGCTTTCTTCCAGTAGGTGGCTGAAGAATTTCATTGTGTAGCTCTATCTCTGGTGATACATCAAAAGTGGTCTTGACAGGAATCTTAAGCTCTTCAACAGGTTGACTTGTCTCTAGCAAAATTTTCTTTTGAGGTAATGATTTGGCCATTATCTTGCTGACGTATTTACAAAGATGATTACAGTGAATCATCTTTGGTTTGGACTTTCTGTCCTTCTGGATTCTATACACCATATCATTGCTCCTTTTGGTTAGAGCATAGAACTCCTCCTAACATCTACGTAAATTTGGAGATATACCTCTCTTGCAGCATGGACTGTAGAATCATGCCACGTCACCATGATAAAATACAGTTCTTCATCATCTGTGGGTGACCAATTTTGAATTTTGTTGTGTTTTTTTAAAGTTAAGCATAAAGCAACACAATGGGCTATCTGTGCTCTGCCCACCACGAGTATCGAAACCCGGATTCTAGGGTTGTAAGTCTGCACACATACCGCCGTGCCACGGAAGGGGGGAATACAAGGTTTTTGTGACAATGCATCGGCATTTCCATGGCTCCATTCAAGATATTGCAAGATGGTGAAGTTGCATTCCAAAAGTTTCTGAAACCATCTTTCTATCTGTCCTTCTGGATATTGGAAGCCCATCAATCTCTTTACTGCTACATAATTTGTTTGGAGTGTAAATTTATGTCCATTTAAGGCTCGAAATACTCTTATTAGCTCTTTTTTAATTATACATTAATTCCTTTTACAGAATTTATTGCATGGCTATTGTAGGCTATCAAATGTTCTTTCCCATACTGTACTTCTGACAACACTGTTTTCACTGCAAAATCAGCTGCTTCTATATCCCATATCAGTGTGCCTTCAAGAGTTGGGTATGCTAGAATAGGAGCAGTAGTTAGTTATTAATTCAGTTTGCTGAATGCATGTTTACAATCAGCAGTCCAGCAAAACTTGTTTGGTTTTTCCAACAGTTTGTGAAAACGATGAGCTATTTCAGGGAATGACTTTATAAAACAATGATAGTACGAGCACAATCCAAGAAGTCTTTCTACCTCAGTTGGCCAGTTTTGAACAGAATCAGTCTTGGTTGGGTCTGCAGACACTCTGTTTCTTCTACTATGTGTCTATGTGTCCCAACAAATTTACCTGTTGACAGAACAATTCATGTGTTTTGGGGGATTCAGCTTAAAGTTCTCTTTCCTCAATCATTCCTTATGTTCTTAACCCACCATAAGCATCACTGAAGGTCTTCCCATATGTGATTATGTCATGTAAGTAAATGAGTACCATATCCTAGAATAGTTCAGTAATCAAGAAAAACAAATTTCATTAACTGTTCAAATCTATCAGGTGCATTACATAATCCAAAAGTAATACAGTATTGCAACAACCAATTTCCTGTAGTAAAGACTTGTCAGTATCCACTCTTCAGATCAAATGTTAAAAAAGTGGTTTCAGATATATATTCAAGGTGCATTCAGTGCAATAATTAAGAATATTTCTTTTGAATTCTTTGCCTTCTGGTAGTCTACAGTAAACCTTCTTTGTCCGCCATTTTTCTACAAGTACAATTGACAATGACAAAGGATCATTACTTGGTTCTATTACTCCTTGTTCTGTCATGGCTTTTATATATTTGAAAGCCTTAGCCTGTTTTGCAATTCAGAGTCATCTGGCAAATTGATGTATTGGTGCTTCTTCTTTAATATCACACTTGTGAGATATTTGATTTTTCCAACCTAAGTCATGAGGTCTATTGAAGCAAGTATTTTGGTATTATATGAGCAAGTCATACAATTCATAGTATTGTTCAATTATAAGACTTTCACAGTTCTGGACATACAACTCCTGTAAATGAGGTAGCAAGCTCCCATTATGGGAAGATTTGAGATCAGATTTCCTAAGTCTTGTTTTTAAGGTAACTACTTCTAATGTTAAAATCATAAATAATATTCAACGTTAAACTGGTACACAATTAAAATGTTAATTGTGTACCAGTTTATCGTTGAATGTTATTTATGATTTTAACTTTATACACAAGTGCCAAAATACTATAATTACTTCTGATGTTTTTCATGTAGAAGTACATCTTGCGCAGCTTCGCATCTTACAATTCTTCCCATCAATGAATACATTCACTTATAACCTAGTTTCTTTAAATAATAAACTCCTTATCTTAATTCGGACAAATGGAGTATTCAAACTAACTTCGGCCCTTAACTGCATGTAGCTAATTGCTGTTTTCTGATGACTGGTTAGCTCTTTGTTGTTTCTTTCATTAGTTTAGACTCTGAGATTCATCTTTTTTATTACAGTTTCGCCTGTCTTGTTTATCACAATTTTTTTCTGATCCTCTAGGAGCAGGTTTACTTCATACCGTTTTTGTTAGTATATTATTTTCAATTGTAGTTGAAAAGCCTACTGTTTTGAGGTTTATTTCTTCCATTTTCAGTAAGCATTTGTCTAACTAATGTTAGCAATTGTTTGTACTTCCATCAGAAGAAGTTGATGTTTCTGCACTATGATATAACAATTACGCAATTTTCAAATGAAACCTTTAGTTATTTACATGCGCTTTTAATTGACTCTAGTTCCATCACCAAAGGACAACCTTCTTTGAAGATATACACCTACTGTGCTTTAGTGTAGTTCGTATATTATCAACCCCTTCGCCATCTATGAATTGATCGTGGACCAATACCCCCTTCCAATCACGTGAAACATTTGGATAAAATAATTGGGCAAATCTTTTCACATCTTTAGTTAGTTCAGATAAGGTCTTGCCCTTTATCCTCACTTTACTTTAGAAACTTCTTTCTAATCTGACAATCCACATCTGTTTGATAAGTTGACCACCAACGCATGATAGTTGTTATGGATTTCTAGTGGAGGGTACATTTTCTATTTTGTCCTTGGCCAAACTAATTTTTGTTCATAATTCCTGTGTAAGTCATATGTCTTGTTCTTGTAATTTTTTCTTTAAAATCCCACATCTTTCTTATAACTATTTGCTGGCTCTCTTCTAAAAACGTTTTACAAATCTTTCTATCATTTTCGCTCTGGCCTTTCTTCCATATTATTTTAATTGTTGCTGCAAGCTCGTGTCACCATTTTAAAGTACACTTTGGATTTGATCTTAAACTTTTATCAAAACTGTATCTCACTCTTGATACAAGTGTTGTAATGATCTTTATTATTGTTTGGATTCTTTTGGATTATATGGTAAAAAGAGTAAATCACAGCTCAGTCCACTTAATGGTGACAAAACCGTTTATTTATTCAACTTTAAATTCCACGGTTAGTGTAATCAATGTGCACTGATATACTTATGTTGACAAGTTAGAGATAAGGAATTAACAAGTTAGTGAAATTTCTGTTTAAACTGACAAATAAACTCAATAAACTTCAATGAAGACGAAAAACAACTTCAGATAAATGTTTGTTCATTCTACCCATCGTTTCGGCTTACACTTTCCTCAAGGGTATATGAACGTCACAGATTACAAAATTAATTTGATTTAAAACTCTTTTTTAATAACAAAAGGTTAAAATTCAAAGTACTTATAAGAATATGAATAATCAAAGCACACAAACAATTAACGTTGTTTTATGTACACAAATAAAAACTTTTTTTTGAGACTGTCAACGTTCTCAAAACAGACACTATATGTTTCGACGTCGAATGATGTCATTCTCAAGAGTGAGGAATCAAAATATATATGGTTTGCACTGATTCTGATTTTACACTTCTGAGAACGACGTTATTCGACATCGAGGCATGTAAAGTGTCTGTTTTGAGACCGTTGACGGTCTTAGAATAAAGTTTATAATTGTGTACTTAAAACAACATTGGCCGTTTGCGTGCTTTTATTACCTGTTTTTAACTTAACTAGATATTTTTATGAAAAGAAAAGCCATTACAAAGAAATCTAAAACAACTATCACATAATAATAGTAAAAGATGGAGGCCTGAAACTTCGTATGGCGAATCTGTGTTTTATAGTATGTTTTTTTTATTTTGTCAAATTAAGTTCATCAGTTAACATCGATGAAAAACTGTTCTTTTTTTAGTTATTTACAAATACAAAAATAAGCTTTTCCCTAACTTTATAGCATTTTACGACACAAACATATTTCTAAATTTGCAATAATTGTTACAACAAAAATGATCAAAACTAAGTCACACTATTACTCACAAACTTTATAAAACACGATAACATAAAACGTATCATATTTAGTTTGAACAATCAGTAATAGATGGCACAGCACTCAAAATAGATACCATTTCCTTTCATATTTAAATAAGTGTGATTTTAATTGGGGAGATGCCGTTAAAGTGACAAATATGATAACAAGAGAAATTTTGTGCGAAAGCAGAACCAAAGATTAGATGCACTTGCAAAGGGTTTCCGAAAGTGTTCTGTTTCACGAATAAATAAAACCAAAATTAAGAGTAACAAATATTTTTATGTCTTGCTTTTGAAATTCATATGTCATTCTGAATTGTAGCCTACAAAGTATATAATTCTTCTCATGATTCATGGCATGCGCAAGTTTTACTGATGTCACTACAGTACAAATTGCAACATTAAGCGTCCCTTGTGCGTCGTCGTTTTAGTGTCTCGTGACTAAGTGACAGATGACACACTAGTATAGTGATGCGAGTGGTTAAAACAGGTGACCCCTACTGGCGTTCTTTGGAGAAATTAGAAAATAATATTTTCAGAAATATTCTAATGTTGTTTATTTAAAATTGATATAGCATAAATGTCATTGAATTGAACTTATTTAAATCAGTGTAGTCGATTTATAATTAATTTGCCAATTATTATCGATATCGTGTCAGGTTCTTTTAATAAAATAATCAAATACAAGGTGTTCTATATAATATGGGCTTGGATATATTACAACTTCTATAAAAACGTTGCGTATTCCTATAATATTTATCTCACAATACAAATTATTTCTTTAAAGTATTAAAGACTTAATTTTTTTTTTCAAATCAGTGATCTTCTTTCTACTACACAACGTTTGTCATTTAAATATTTTTTGCAAGCGTTCGTGGGCATGTAATTTAAACGACTAATTTGATTAATATTTTCTTTAGAAAGAAAATAACTTTTGGCAATTTTATATGTCAAAATTTTCGGAAACGAATTTGAGGTCTACTTGCGCCCATTTTCAAGCATGGACTGTGTAAAGACACGGAAAATAGTTTAGTCTTTTTCTGAACCAAAAAACCAGAAACAACTAGCTGGCTTCGTTGATAATGATTACTGTAAAAATATATCTAATCGGATTCGGATAAATTGACTCCAATTCAGCAATCTGCCGTTTTGTATCTTCTCTTTTGTAGAGGAAATTGATTCTACAAACCTTCATTTTCAGGTTTTTATGTCGCTATTTTGATAATACTTTTAGTATGCAGATGTTGAAATCCACCACGTGTAACAATAAGCTTCTTTGGTGTTCTTTTGATTACTATAAAAATTTGATTAGGTGCTGATATGTTTAATTTGTTGTCAATTCAGGTAAAATCCTATTGACTGTCATATGTGACTCATCAAGTCTATTTCAGCTTTTACATAATATTTAGTTGTTTTTCCCGGCCTATAAGCCCCACAAAATAACTGTCGGCTTACTCGATCTCTGGGACCCCTCTAGCTAGCGTAGAAGGGGAATGAGACTGTCTTTAAGGATCTAGGTTTTGTCGAAAAATGAGGAACTCTCTGCTAAACCTACCTTTTTGGGTCCTATTACGCCACTTAGCACGAGGATTCATTAAATCAGTTTTAAGGAAAATTCAAAATTTGTAATAGTTTCGTTTTCTAGGCATTTTCACCCTTCTGTTGCCCCTTTATTTCAACTAACAGAATGAAACGCCTAGGTATTAGAAGAGGAAAAATCAGTTCAGTTGAAGTTTGGAAAAAATATGGACACATATAATTCTGAGCTATTGAAAATTTAACCCTCGTCATTTTTTCCCCAGAGTCATCGTAGGCAAAATTCACTATTGAAAATGTAAAATTCACTCCCTCATCAAATATTTAAAAGAAATATATTTCGTCATCCAATGATTGCAAACAATTTAGAATGGCATCACAAGTCCTCAGTTTAACCACACTAGCTAATTACACTTCAATGATTTAAAACTTATTCTGATTTCATATGAAAAACTATTTGTAGAATACATTGCACATCAGCACAAAAACTCTTACCCAAACATAAACTTAACGACCATGATGTTATAAGGCTGACATGTGGTATTTTTGGTAAACGATAAAATAAGCGAAACTAACCTTTAACTTTACGCTACACGTACCTTGTCTTTGATGTACAACTATTAGTATTCCATATCTATCCTTAAGTACCAGTAACCCACTAAGTTCTTTTTAAGAAAACAAACAATTTAGTTAAATCTGACTTTCACTTGACTTTTAATCATACATTCTTCTCAATACCTTACCATACATCATGCAAATAATCTCGCTGATCTACAAACTAAACAAATTTTAGGAATTAAATTATCATTTGTGAAGGGTTAAATTTTCAGTAGGGCGTTCTATAAAAAGCTCTAATTTTGTACTTTGACAAGTTAGTTACGAAGTTCGACAGATATGGTACGAATGATATTGACTTACCTGCTTTTAAAAACTGTCTCCCATTTTGGATCAATAGTAGCTCTTGCGACGGAAACAATAAACAATGCTTTCCACAGAATTACCACGCCTTTATTTAGCTTTAACTTCTCCATGTAGGATGGATGTATGAAACATAGATGTAGAATCTGAAAAAAATTAAGGAACGATTGTCAGAAGAAAAAAGGAATAGTTAACCCGGAAGGATAGAAAGTTACTAAAGAAAACATCTTAAACTAGTAAGCAAATATCATTGCAATCAATGACACCATTTAACGGAATAGAAAATAACTTAAACGAAATATAGAATATAATATAAAGGAATAGCATGTCATAGAAAGCTGGGGTAGAATTCTAAAGAAAAGAAAATGAAGAGCAATCAAATATTTTTTTGTTTAAGTACAAAGCTACACGATGGGTTATCTGCGGGATTTTAGCGTTATAAGCCTCCAGATATGCCACTAAGTCGTAATGGTGTCAGCAATGAAAGAAATAAAACATTCCAAGGGACAGTATTTGGATCTAAAAGTAACTTGAGTTTGTTTGTTGTTAAGGGGAAAGCTACACAATCAGCTATCTGCGCTGCATCCTTTGCGTGTACAGAATCCCAAATTTTAGCGTTATAAGCCTTCATGCTTACCCATAGGGGAAAATAAGGGTTTGTTTGTTTGTAGTTAAGCACAGAGCTACACAATGGGCTATCTGTGCTCTGCTCACCACGAGTATCGAAGCCAGGTTTCTAGAGTCCCCAGACATACACCTGTGCCACTGAGAGGGGGGGGGGCAGGGAAAAAAATAAGAAGAGATTCTACATAAACAATGAAATATAAATAGACAATGTAGACAGGATTTGTTTGTTTCGAACTTTCGCCAGATCCACATAATACATATTTTATTTGTGTGTACTCGTCACTACTCACTAATTTTGATCTGACAGACTACAGGGAAAAAATCTAGACCGCCAACTCTTCTTTGATCGAATAGTGAGATTTGATCATCGCTCTTATAGAAAAATAGAATACAAAGAATAAAAACTAATTTCTGGTTCACTTCTGACACATTGCCTGTGATATTGAACTAACCCATACATTTAGTAACGTCAACTTAATGATATAATAACATGAGAAACTAAAATACCGCAAAAACGTCGTTTCGCAAAACGTAGATGGTGTGTGTGTGTATAAAAAAGAAAAACAATATTTATCGTTTGTTTGAAGTTATGCAAAAAGCTACACAATGGGCTATCTGTGCTCTGCCCACCACCGGTATCGAAACCCGGTTTTTAGCGTTGTAAGTCCGCAGACATACCGCTGTGCCACTGGAGAGCCATCAATATTTATTCTATAAATTTTTACCAATTATAAACACACAGAAATACCAAAAGAATTACAAAGTACACTTTACAAAAATTATAAAATAAAACACGTAAGTTTTATGTTTAAACCGATACTTGTAGTTTGTGAAGGTTTTTCGTTATGTCATTAATGGCGTCGTGGCTTAGTGCTTTGAAGTCGTATATGAAAGGTTGCGTGTTCTAGACTTGCCAGTGCAACGTGTTTGTGACTCTATGCAAGATAGTTGACTCCAACTGCTTCAGTACAATGTGTCCCAGCAGGTAACTTGTGGTTAACCTAGGAGGGATTGGTATTCTATTCAACGAGGATGTGTTACCATTCTCATCCATTCCTGCCAGAGGAAACCGAAGTTAAACACTGGCCTTATGTAAATGCCTTTAAAGCACGAAAAGGATTAATTTACTTGTGACCTTTTGATTCAATGATATTGAACTAGGATTGACTTTATTTAATACTCCATATTCAATTAGATTCTAAGATTTGTATTAATGAATGTTAGCTGTTTTCTCTAAGTTAGCTCATAACTCTCTAATTAGAATACCCTTTTAGTCAATTAAAACACTTCTGGTTCATACCTTCAGTTGAAACCGCTAATGATGTTCCAAAAAATTAAAAGTAATATGCGTTAGAATATGAAATGCATTGTGTTTTTTTTTTTTTGTAACTTAAACCAAGATAAGTATAACACATAATAGATACAGTTAAAGAAACTGGTCGACTATTTCCTTGACAAAGAAGGGATTGTTCAAATAGAGTAACCTATATTATGCAGTAGCTTTCTGCCCCACCATGGAGCAGGTATGAAATTCATTGCATACTATCAACTGAATCTGAACAATCCTTATTAACTTGAAATACCATGAACAATAAAGATGTAAAGCCATTTCTGCCAAATATTTACTTACGATCGTGGTTTGAATGACCTATTACTTGCATATCAGATTATTAGATATAGCATAAAAATGAACTGAAAATGGTGACTGGCAAGGATGATTAGCATTATAGCAATAGTTTTGCATTGCTAAAATTAAAATAATATAAATTTCTTTGATTGTATTGGGCAGTGTACATAAATGCATGCCACTTTAGTTCAGTTTAATTCAGTCTTATTTTATTTTATTTTTCAAACTGCAGTATAATTGGATGAGAAAAGTCACGCTGTGGCTAGAAAGTGAAATCCACCACGGATATTTCTAAATGTTAAGGGGCTTTAAAGTCATCAAAGCTATACATTTATATATAATCAGCATATATTTAACTATCCAAAAAGATGAACAATAGAACATTGTTTTAAATAATAATTTAACATCTTCATGCATGATTGAATAAACCAAGTATGGCTTTTGGTTAATGAATATTTGGTTACTATGATTAGTACATAGTAATACTTTGAAAACCTCGCATGTTGTAGTGGTGCCATGCGAGAATAGGTTTAAAAGTTTTATATTATTATTATAGAGCAAGAAGTAAAGATAAAACAAGACCAATAATTCAACACTAAAAGAAAAAACATATATAATATCTAGAATTACACTAAGAAATAATATATATAGATAATTTTAAAGATAAATTTTCAATTTAATGTCCCCGAAAGGGGCGGAAGGCCGTCTGGAGGGGTCACCTGTTTTAACCACTCACATCACTATACAGTAGTGTGTTGTCTGTCAGTCAGTCAGTAGACACTAAAATAACGTCACTTAACGTTGCAATTTGTACTGTCGTGACGTCAATAAAACGTGCGCATGCCATTAATCACGAGAAGAATTATGCACTCTGTTTTATAAGACTATTAAAGAAACCCATGTGGTACAAGACACAGCAAGCCCATGTTGTACAAGACTCAGCAAGTCCATGTTTTATAAGACTATTAAAGAAACCCATGTTGTACAAGACTCAGCAAACCTATATTGTATAAGACTCAGCAAGCCCATGTTGTATAAGACTCAGCAAGCCCATGTGGTATAAGACTCAGCAAGCCCATGTTTTATAAGACTATTAAAGAAACCCATGTTGTACAAGACTCAGCAAGCCCATATTTTATAAGACTATTAAAGAAACCCATGTGGTACAAGACTCAGCAAGCCCATGTTTTATAAGACTATTAAAGAAACCCATGTGGTACAAGACACAGCAAGCCCATGCTGTACAAGACTCAGCAAGCCCATATTTTATAAGACTATTAAGAACCCATGTGGTACAAGACTCAGCAAGCCCATGTTTTATAAGACTATTAAAGAAACCCATGTGGTACAAGACTCAGCAAGCCCATGTTTTATAAGACTATTAAAGAAACCCATGTTGTACAAGACTCAGCAAGCCCATATTTTATAAGACTATTAAAGAAACCCATATGGTACAAGACTATTTAGCAAACTCGTATTGTATAAAACCGTTCAGCAATCCTGTGTGTACAAGACTATTTATTGCACATTCGTATAGCACAAGAATATCTAGCAAACCCATGTACAAGACTACTCAGCAAAACGTGTTAAATGACCCTCAGCTGCTTCATGCTGACTTCAGGAATGAGCTATCTGTCCTGTGCTCACCATGGAAATCGCAACCCGGTTTTTAGCGTTATAAGTTCGCAGACTTACCACTGTGCCACTGGAGATGTGCAGGAATAATACCATTGTTTATGTCGTTTATTTATAGAACTTCAAGTTATCTGCATCGTAAGATATTTTTAATTAACTTTAGTAAACCATGCTTTTATGAATATTTTCAAGATTACTCTATAAATTAATACATAGACAAATAGATTCATTGTTTAAAGAAAACAGCTTTTCAATATAAAAGCGACTTAGTAAATGTTATTTTTTTAATTTTAAAACTTATGAAAATAACTTCACTAAAATACTTTCATATTTGCATAACACTGGCTGAGATTATGTTTTTGACATTCAGGTAATGATGATAGCGTTAGATGGTGGGAGATTTTATTATTGCCAAAACTACTTTGTAATTATTTGGATGGGTAATGTTGTCGTTTTTCTTAATAACCATTTTAATTATTTGACTTTTCACCGCTGCCATTGAAGATTATGCAAGGTAAATAAATATGTATTTGATGTACTGCCGCAAGTGTTGAAATGTCGAAATATAAAAAGTATATATATTCTAAACACCGTTAGAAGGGATAAACATTTTGTAAAGAGAGAACTCATTATCAAACTTATTATTTCCACTTATACAGTAAACTCTTTTGAAGAAGTAAGAAAAGGTTTTTAAATTAGTAGAGATGGCAAAGTAAATATGTGTTTAGTAAGTAATGTATGTTTAAACAATTACAGAATCGAAACAAGCATTTATCTATAGCTAATGAATATTGTTTATATTATTAGTATTACACTAAAGTGGAGGAGAGCACACAAGTCTTTGGAAGTTGAATATTTTAAAGAATGAAGAGCTATCTAAGTGATACAGGATTTATTTGGTTGTACAACCAATTAAACTAAGAATGACCACACATATTAAATCAGAGTTCTGAAAAATATGCAACTTATCTAAACGAAATTGAATGTGAAAAAGTGTATTATTATACCAAGAATATAAAACTTATACCCGCTGGCTGAATATATTATACTAATTGTCTATGAATATTTAACCTGGTGATTAAGCATTATGTCTGTAAGGTAAACTTAAATAACTTAGAATATAACATAAAGGTTAAAAAAATCAACTGCCTTCAGATCGTACAAAACTACTTTGATACTTATAATGGTTAGAGACGGCTTGAAAGGGTAATGAAAAAAAACTTTAATATATGTTTAACATAACAGCAAATTTACAACGTTCCGACAAGGTTTTTGTCATCATCAGGTCGAAACGTTGTACATTTGCTGCTATGTTAAACTTATATTAAAGTTTTTCTTCATTACCCATTCAAGCCGTCTTGACCATTATTAGTCTTAAAGTGGGTTCCTCGTCATCGAATTTGAATACTTTGATACTTATCAGCACTTATTGTCTGAAATCATTTCTTAGACAAAATAAATAAATAACGAAAAAATAAATAAGGCGTTTCAGGCAGATATTTTACATTTAATCGGGTATGCTCAATGAAAAGATAATTTCGAAATAAAGTATTTTCTCTTTTGTATTTTTGACAATGCTACTAAAACTATATGAACTGCTGACCAGAACTGCCACCATTCACTTTAAGAGAATGACTCACTCTTATACCACACTCGCAGCTTAAAAGGCAGGAAACATTTTGTGGTATTTCCCGGATTCGAACCCGGACCGCCTATTTCTAAATTCTACCACAAGGTAAACCCAATTAATAGTTTAGTAAACGCTGTTTGGCAAAGCAATATGAATAATCTTGCTTTAACAGAGATAAAATAAAACACAATTTAGAGTAAGTGATAATCTAAAATTGGGTTCTACCACCAATATAACATCCAGAAAAAATCTAGAATGTGAATAATCAAATATCCAAAAATCTAATTACGAATATATATAATATCAGAAAACGGATAGATGACACCAGCAGCTTAGTTTGAAAATACAATTTAGTTAAGCAATAATCTAAAAACAAAGACAAAGAGTATTTCAAGGTGACATTCCTGCATGTTATTTTATCACATAATCGTATCCATAAGAAAACACACGATATTAAATAGTTTATAGTGATTCAATCTATGTATTTACTTGAACTTCTTTGACGTACTAAACATTTTGAAGTAATAATGATCAAGTACTTACCTGTTTTTGTTTTTTTCGTTTTTAGTTCTTGATCTTTCTCGTCCGATAATAATATTTATTTGTCCACGCACCGTTGCAAACAGCCAGAAAAACTGATGGAGTTTAAAAGATTAAATAATTCGGCTCTTATTTAGTGATTCAAATAAAAAGTAGTTCATGCTTAACTTTTGCTAGGACTAAATTTATTACTTCACTTGGGTAATAAGTAGAAATTTAATAAAATGCTGAAATTCGTTTGTAAATAGTTATTTAAATACACTGGAAAAGGCTTATCTCACAGACGCTATGCTCTATTGAATACATAACAAACACCTCAATATGTAATTTAATATATCTAAAATTATTCTAGATATAATTACTCTATACCCTGTTCAAGAATAAAATCACAATTAAGTACGAATGAAATTATATAGGAATTGGTTTATTACTGGTTTACAAAAGTGCTTTGTTTTCTTGACGGTCCTCTAGTATAGAAATTGGGATGTAAGGAGACCTGATATTTACTGACACGAGAATTTTTTTTTGTTTCAAAAGCGTAACAGTCGTGCGGTCTAAGTATAAATTAATAAAATATGACGAAACATCAAACTACAATTAATACACTAAAATTGGAACGATTTGCTAACAGCTCCTCTAAGCATTCTAACAAATACATTGTGTATAAACTTAAACTACAAATGTTTATTTCATTAACGGAACACTAAATGAAATATTTTTAGTACTATGAAATTATTCTGAGAAAAGTCATGACTTAATCATACAGCTCAAACAATGGAAAACTCAAATAAACAAAAGCTAAGCGTACTTCTATTCTTCTCAGGGGATTAAAAGATATACACGTTACCTTGATTTACTTCTTTACGTGTTCGTTAAATAACAAAATGCCTTAATAACTGAAAAAGTGAATTATTTAAGTAATACCAAAAACAGAGTCAATGTCGCTATTTTTCTATTCAGTGTATTTTAGAATTTGAAGAAAAACCTATTAGAAATTATATTACGAAGTTTTTAGAGCGAACGAAAGTTGAACAGTTAATTAGTATATGATTTCATTGCTATCATATATATTGACTTCAGTGGCACTATTCTTTTGTTTTCCAGTAGTAAAAACTGATGCTTATAGGATATAATTATTTACGTATAAGGATGTCATACAAAACACTTTTCTGGACATCAAGAATATATGTTTATTTTAATGGGCTTGAAAGTTTATAAAGTTTACTTACTTTACTTATAAATTCTTCTTTTGATGTAGTTAAATATCAGACCAAGCTAATTAAGATATAGAGCGCGGTAACATATCATGAAATGTAACTCAGATATTGTGCTAAAGAAATAACTTAAGAACAAATGTAAAGATAGTTTAATACTAATTTCCATCTAACTAGTCCAGCTTGATCTAGCTTAGTCACTAAACTCACATAGGAATTACGTTGAAGCAAAACAAAGGCTCCATATGTTGACGGCAAAGTTGGGTAGGAAGTATCCTTTCCTGAAATTGTTTAATTATCTAAATCGTTAAGCTCTTATGTTGCATTAAACACCAGTTTTATTCCTCGACATGTAATAAAAGTTTAACTAGTCAAATTAGACATAGTTTCCTTAATAATATCAAGTCTCATGCTTAACTAAGTTATTTATAGGGCGTTTCGTTTAGGATATAAAAACAACAACCTTTAAACACAACCATGAACATTAAAAGTTTTACGACTGTAATGAAATGGTTTTAACTTAATTAAGTTATTAGTTACATTAAACTTTACGCTTGGTTTAAGTCATTTTTTATTTGTGATTAGAGAATACTGAATAATGAATTTTATTAGAAATGTTATAAGAAAAATTTAAATGAAAAATGTTTTAGTTTAACATTGAGTCCCAACATTTATTGTAAACACATGTTTAATTAGATAATCGCTCAAGCTTGCTGAAGTGAAGAAACTTGCATCAAAATTTAGAAAACTTTACATGAATATAACCAACTTAAAATATATCCTATACTAGTTATAAAAGGGTCAAATATTATGACATTTTTTGTAAACACATTGGCCTGAAGACAGGAATAGCCCCATTCACAGTAATGTACATCCTGTTATAACTTCTAACCAAGTACAGAAACCTAATCTCAGAGTTTGAAAACAATTAATTGAATATACCTGAATGAAGATATATGCTTTTTCTAAGTTATGAAAGGGTTAACGCCATAGTGTTTTAGTATTACCTCCACGCCCTTCCTTCCATCACAATCCACCTCAATCAAATATTAATGGAACTTTAAGTCCATATTTGGTTTTAATATGATTTAACTTTGATCCAGAGGAATCACGCTCTCTTAAGCTCAAAGAAACATGAAACGTCATGATATTTATTCAAGACAAGATATGGATTTTTAGTTTTAAAATAAATATAAATAAATGAAATGCCGTTAACAAGTACTTATAAATTGTAAAATACATAAGAAACATACTGAAATTAAACTCTTTAACGCGGATAAAAAAACTGGTTTAACAGTAATTTAAGCAAAATTAGACTGATAAATCCAGCTGTCATATAAGTAAAAAGAATCATTGTTACTTTATATTAAGAAGAACTTGCAGCTTCATCACGTCATTACAATCGACGTTCTTATGTTCGATTATGCTGTAATAGACGACCATTCCTCTTGAAAATAGCCTTGCAGTGAAGTTCCATCGCAAAACTGTCATGTGCAAAGCACACCACCCCTTTCTGAAAGCTTTATATAATTCAACTAACGTATCAGAACAGTGGTTTTCCAGCGCGTGTTTCAACAGTCTGGTCACACAAAAATTTATAGGCACTGTATCTGAAAACGTGACCGTTATATTTTTATATGGAATCGCATTCCATTCCATTCTCCAGATGTTTGAGGTGTGAAATGATTGAATGGGAGGTATGAATGGAAGCCTTGTTTTGGTGAACCTGTATACTGTGTGGCTTCGATTCGAAATGGAGATCCTTCTTGGTTATGTTTCCTGGGACATGTGTCAGTTTCTGCTACATTTGTTACAAGACGCCACACTTTGCTTACCATGGCTGAGATGTAACTAACTGAATGTTGTTGATGCCCCAAGTTTATCCACATTCCTTTTTGTTGCAATGCCATTAATTTTCCCATCTCGGAAATATAATCTGAGTTTAGGAATATTTTGCACTAGAAAGTGCTGTTACATACCTTTGCCCAAGTGGTCAATTTTTGGTTACACCACAATATCTATGCAAAGTTAAACAATGTGGAAACGTACTTTTGATACACGCTATTCTCCCGTGACTTTATATCGGCTGTGGTTGTCACATTACTTGCTGATTTGCATATTCAAAAACGTTTTAGTATAATGTACACAACGATGTGTATGTGTTAATCATATAAAAATAAATAGTTTTGGTTCTTTAAATTGTGTTTATACTATTATTATAAGAAATTTTAATAATAAAAAATAAAAATAATTATTTTGTTAAATAGTGCCAGGTGTGCCAGCCAAATTCAGTTCGGTTTGACTCTTTGCAATTCAAACAGCAGGAAATCTGAAATTTTAGAATTAACTCGTCAGGAGTTGCATGACTAAGGAGGAAGAGCTAAATTACTGACGTGTCTTTTATAAGTCGTACTTTTAAGAAACAAAAAAGTTACTTTAGAGTTTCCTGGGTCAGCAGATAAGCTGTTTAGTGGCACTCTCTCGCGCGCTTTATCATTCGGAGAATGTACCATCATTGCTGTGTTGGCAGGCTGGATCATCACGTCTGCTGCTTCAATGAAGAAGCTGGAACTTGCACAAGACCAGCAGGAAACATCATTCCTGCTAATTTGAACTATGGAAGGTATGAAATGGTGATAGTTAAAGCCGGGGTTGAAAATACTTGGTCTATTTAGCTTTTGGAAGCCCAGAGATTCAGCTGCCAACATATAATTGAATTTATTAACACCCTGGTCACAACCAGCTCACTAGTAAATAAATATAAAACACATACCACACCTCAGAATAATCATTAAGGCTGACCTGAGAAGGTGATATCCTGATTTGTACAGGATAGCACACGATATTTCCTTTCTTCAGTATGAACTGCTGTTATGCTGCAGTAACTTCATTTCATTGGTTGTTGTTTTTTCTTCTTAGACACAAAGGATCTTCCACGTGTATCTGGTTGTGTGCAACTGATCCTTAGGTGTACAAAGCTCAAAAATATTAAAGTAAATGTATTATAAAATACTAGGTACATCAGTAGTTCTTGTAATGAAGGAAGGAGTTTCTAGGCAGTGACGTATGGCAGACAAAGAATAGGTTTAAAATGCTATTTGTACTTTCCTGTGATATAGAATCCATAATGGAATAAATAAGAAAAAAGTATAGCATAATTTTTATCGCTATTATTAGGCTAGGTACACTATTTTTTGTGTGGTTTTTTGTTGTTGTTGTGAAACATCCAGGGACATTGACTTTACTTTACTCGAAAAAAGATGCAAAACCTACAGATATTTGTATTGTGTATAATTGAACATAATTTTTCATAACCACCAATGAAAACATCTGCAGCATGCTTCTTATTAGATCCGATGAAAATCAAACAGTAGCTTGAATGTCATTCATGAAGTACTATATATTTACGAATGTTTCAGTTTTGGACTAAAACAAACATGTTCTCCACCAACACCCTTTATTTAAGTCTACCTTAACTACTGAAGTATGTATCAAAGTTCTGCATTCCCTAATAATTGTTCTCTCTTTATATTTCCGCTTATGTATGTAATACAATAAACATAAACGAACACACTTATATATATATATACACATATACAATAATATCTTATACTAAATACGTGCATCTATCCAGAGTCTATGGTACATATATTGTAGGTAACAGTAAACAATGTTCGCTGTCATGACCAACTACCAACTACCAAGCTACGTCTTACTGTGTCACAGCCTGTGAGCCAACAAACCCAATAATGTTTTGGTATTGCACAAAAATAGAGCAATCATGGGCAAAACTCGGTGAACATGAACGTCTCCATTGCAATTTACACAACCTAGTTCGCAATTCGTGATATAACTTAGAGTATATGCCATTATAGACACAGTGATTAGAGAAAACGCAAAAGACAATAGGAAAAACATATATTCACAGTTACAAGTGACTACCAATACATGATGTCATCCCATATACTATTTTATCGCCATAATTATAAAAATAACTAGGATAAAATCTAGAGAAACAAGGAATTTTGCATCACGATTTATTTCAATCGAAGTTACTTTTGTGCCGTGTAAGAGCACAACTCTCTTATTCAATATCTAAAATACTGACACAGACCTATCAGACTGAAAATGGGATTCTGTGGCATGGTCTGGTGTTTAGGGCACTGGACTCGCAATATACGGTTCGTGAGTTTGAATCCCGTCATCGAACATACTCGTCCTTTCAGCTAAGGGGACGTTATATTGTGACGCTCAATGCAATTTTTCATTGTTAAAGACCAGTCCAAGAGTTGGCGGTGGTTGATGTTGAGTAGCTGTATTCCTTCTAGTTTATCTCTTCTTAATTCGGATCGATTAGCGCTGATATCCCTCGAGTAACATTGCGCAAAGTTGAACAAACAATACTTAGTCTATCAAATCGGAAAAACTTGCGTTATGAAAAGACACTAACTCTTAACTCCTTCCCTTTTTAATATAGCCTAGCATAACACATTATACTTCAATGACGTACTTTAGAGGAGCCCCAAAAATTTAATTTTTCAGATTCTAGTATTTCACATACCCCACCCCCCAAATAAACGACACAAGTTTAAGAAACCAATGTAGAGTATATTCCTAACGTATATTCTCAACTTCTAACTTTACTTACAAAACGTCTTACATCATCACTACAAAGAAGTGCCGTTAATAAACTTAGCCATCTCTGAAAAGTATATTCTGCTGCTGAAAAACTACTCTTTATAACTTTTCACAATATACAGAAGGTATTACTTGTATGGAGAACTGCTATCTCTAGCTTTTCTCAACCCTGCTACTAGTATATAAAAAGAGCTATTGTCCGTAACTTTACTCACCACTACTACTGTTTAAAGAAAACTACTACCCATAGTTTTAATCACCACTAGAAAGTATGTTATTAGTATAAAGACAGCTATTGTCCGTAACTTTACTCACCACTACTGCTGTTTAGAGAAAACTTGCTACCCATAGTTTTAATCACCACTAGAAAGTATGTTATTAGTATAAAGACAACTATTGTCCGTAACTTTACTCATCATTAAATAATTTATTATTAGTTTTGAGAGATCTACGGTCCATAACTTTACTTAACAGTTTCTTAACTTTTTACCACTAGAAAGTATCATAATAAGAAACGAAAACGCTTATTCAGGACTTTATTTACCAGTAAAACAGTAAATGTTTAATAAACACGAAATCTGTAAATTATTTCGCTAGAGAAGTTATTCTCATTTACAATTATACGTGAATTTCTACTTCAAAGTGATTATTTGAAGTAGATGACCACTGTATCTAATCGTACTCTCTAATACAGAGTATGTTCTTAGTATGAAAAATATCACCTGTAATTTTCTTATTACTCCACACAAGATTTACCATTTCTTCCTTACATAACATATCGGATAGTATTTCTATGAGTTAGTATTGTTTTTAGATTTACTTACCACTAGAGAATGTATTCCTACTGTAAAACATTGCATCCTTTAACCTTATGTACCACCAGAGAGCATATTGCTACTTGAGATTACTGAACCTGCAAGTTGCTCATCGCTTGTGTGTTTTTAAATCTAGAGGTCCTCTGGTACAAATCTTACCTACCTAAGCTGGAAATATAAAGATATCCTTCTTGAAATATTTCACATGTTCAACATCGTAATAATTTTGTGTTCCTTCTACCTACTTGACAAGGTATTTTTTATATTTTTCTTATATATTACTTAATTTTTTTCTCTGACTTAACTCTTTGTTTTTCTTGTTTACAAAACAAAATAGTTTAATTTTAAAAACTTTTGAACTGAGCTCATAAAACACACTTCCTTCGAGTATTAAGCTGTTTCCAGTATATAGGAAAGGTTACGATTATTGCGTAGTTTGCGAGGCATTCCTATTAGTCCCCATCAGACAATGTCATGCGCAGTTAAACATCATAGGCAACAGTTATGGAAGAGCGTAGGTAGAACCGTGTACTAAAATATCTGTTGCGAAAGCGTTTATTGGAAAAAAGTAATTAATGAGAGATTGACGAATATAGAAGTATGTATTGTATTAAATATACATTTGCGCCTACGTCTTGAAGCGTAACATAATGTTGTACTTTAACAAGTAATTCTACATACTGGTTTAAGTGCAATAGAGTGAAGAGCTACTGACAGCACGCAATAGTTCGTACTTTCAGCAACCACAGTATGTGGTATTGTATTCTTATATTCTCTTGTTTACACAATCTTTATAGGTTTGTATATGGGTAAAAAACATATTCTTGAAAATCAACTCGGGTTTAAAATTTTACATTAATTTTTGCAAAAAAAACTATTATTTTTAAACATTTTGGGGTGTGGGTTTTAGAAATGAACAAGAGGTCAGACATAACAACATACTTCTAGATCATCTTTATGGTTCCCGAGTTTCAGAATTAACCAAAAGATTATTTTTGTTTCTCAATGGAAATGAAGAACAGAACTAGTTCAATTAGACAATATTTTAAGTGTATAAGCAAAAATCAAAAACCCAAAACTTCAGTAGTTTAGTACTCTTGGGTCTGGCTTAGAGCAGCTATTAACCTGCACGTAAAGTGAATAATTTACATATGATGAATTACGTTACAGATAAGTATTCTAAATTTGTAAATAGTTATCAGCACGTATATTCCAGTTTTCTCATAAAATAAATCAGTCGTCGAGATTGACCTCATGATGTTGCTTCAGGATCTGTACTGAGAGTCTGAAGTACATTATAATCATGACTCGTCTGAGAACTACTGGATATTCTGATTGGGATCAACAGTCAGTGCATAGCTGTTTTTGGAAATATAATGCGATAAATAAAGCAAATGAACGGTCTTAGTTTTATATATAGAAATTTGTAATTCTCATACCTGGTAGCCAACTGAGCTCAAGATGCTTCAATAAAAGGAAATAAAGGACAGTTAAAGAGTAATGTTCTGAAAAAAATGAATAACCACTAGATTTATAAATATGGAAAGGCAGAGTGGATGGCTAAAATCAGACATTCCTTGTTCCATGAAAACATGCCGTGAAATGAAACCACACATGTGACATTAATTCATCACCTAGGACTTTAATGATAACTCAAGAGTGCAGGTTAGCAGACCTACTGGGAAGAAGGTAGTCTATACTGATATATTTTAAAAACGGGCTGCAAGCCTTAAGCCACCATTACAGCTCTTAATAGAAGGCGGTGGCTCTTATAATGCCTTGAATTTTGAGATTCGGTCAAAAACAATGGAAATAATTACATGACGTGATGAATACATCTACTCATTGTTTGTTTGCTTTGTATGGAGTTTATTTGATCTTTGTCAACTGAAAATTCCATCTGAGGATGTAGAGATGGGTGCCCAAGAACTCCTGTTGGATAATATGCTCATGTAGTTTGGTATATATGGGTGCCGAAGAACCCCCGTTGAATTACATAGTCATGAAGGTTTGATAAAGATAGGTGTTTATGATCACATAATTATGCAGTTTTGGTGTAGATGGATGTTGAGGAATCACAATCGGATCACATAATTATGCAGTTTTGGTGTAGATGGATGTTGAGGAATTACAATCGGATCACATAGTAATTCAGTTTTGATAAAGATTGGTGATGAATAATCAATGTTGGAACATATAATTATGCAATTTTGGTAGAGATGAGTGCTGATGAGCCATTGCTGGATCACAATGTCAGAGCTTTCAATGAGATATACAAGATTAAGTGAATCAAAGCTGTGGCTACAAACTTAGAGTTCAAGAGTCATTCTGATAGCTGTGAACTTAAAAATTAACACTCATTTGATTAATCTATTTCATAAAAAATGTATTTAGTAACATGAAAAGATCTAGAAACCTAAGTGTATGAGCATTTTGTTCAAAACTTTTCAATTAAAATATGCGATGCTTACAAGTAGTTCCTCTTACATGTTAACATTCAGAATTACATCGCATCGAATAATATAAGACATTCCTTATAGATTTTTTTAACATGAAACAATTGAACTATTTTCGAAAGAATGATTTAACCTCCAGGTTCAATTCTTTGCTTTGTGTTCATATAAAACAATTGCGAATCAGGGTATATAACTAGAGAACGTGTTCGATGTATGACTCTGTGTACTTGCACAGTGGTGAAACAAATTAATATATGATTAAACTCAGTTGCTATTGTTGGGGTATAGAATTTCTTATCTCCTTGATTATAAGGAATAAAATTTATTGAAGTTATATGTAAATTTCCTAATTTGGTATGTTCGACACCCTTAACCCACTTTAAGATTACGAAACTTATAGCTTATAAACTTCTAAACTCACACATTATCACATCATGCTGAGAATAAGGTAGGCTGCTATTACATAACAAATTAAGGTTAATTAAATTTCTGATTTATCTGTCTTTGTGATTTCGTAAATTGCTTACTAATGAATATTTCAGAAAACCGTAAATGTGAAAAATTCAAGAATCACATAGTAAGTAAAGTGAAACCTGTGAAACCAATTGAAATTGTTTACTAATAAATATTTCAGAAAACAGTAAATGTGAAAAATCCAAGAATCACATTGTGAATAAATTGAAACCTGTGAAGAGTTAAACTTTGATTAACTGAAATCGTATTCATATTTTGTGTTTCTGTTTTAGTGGCAGATTTTTTGAAACATCCTAGTTGAACAAGCATGCTTATTTTGTTAGCAGCAGATTTGTTGAAAGATCTAAGTTTTTATATTTCAGAAGAATTAAGTAAACACTTTAATTAGATTCCCGTAAGTAAGTGACTAGGAGAACTTGACAGAAAACTCGTACAAAGGTTAAAACTAAGCAATTCTGATTTAGACGCCTTTTAAAGACAAACATTATGTGCATTGAACTCTCCCGAAATACGAAATTCATTTAGTAAGTTTTATTATTATTTTTTATGCATTATCTTTTTTATAACTCTATTGCAGAATTTGCCTGGCATTCCCATTATTCGTTTTAATATTTCTGATAGACAATGATTATAAAATTATCTGTGTAATTTGAAAAATAAGTCGCCTAAGAACGGAAAGTGTTCACCGAATAGAATTTATACTTGAGAATGAAAAAAAAATAGGTTTTGAATAAATTAAATCTCATTAACTGCAACAATTATGAATACAAGTAAGAAGTCATTATCAAGTATCGACTGTGTGGCGAATGTCATGAACATTGATGAGTATTAGTCATGAAATAATCGAACGTATAGTAAGTAATCCGACTGACATGTGCTAAATATAAATAATTTTTCATCTCTTAATATTGAATAGAGTCTGATGTGGACTAATGGTTAGCGTGCGGGTTACGAATCGGAAGGTCCGAGGTAAACATTCATTATTCAACATTGATCATTTGGAAAATACTGTGAACATTGATACATATAAATATATGTATATATATATCATTTATTGTTAACACAAGTTGTTTTTTTTTTTGCTTGTTTTAGAGCAAAGCCACTATGGGTTATCTGTTGTGTCCACCAAGGAGAATCGAACCCCGGATGTTAGCGTTGTAAAATCGTAAACTTACCACCGTCCAATCGAGGAAGTGTTAATATAAAGATGTCCATAATCAATTACAAACCAAGAGGTGAGAGTATTAGATATTTGTAAATATTGTGATGAATGGAAGTAAATATTTATCATTAAAGATACATGGACAGGAGAATATCGTGAAATTGGAAAGAAAGGCACAATTAACGATGTATACAGAAGTGTAATTCATTATCAGTAGACTGCGTAATGTGAAAAGTAATCATAAGTAAGTACTCTTCATTCAAAAAATAACGTGCGATGAGCATAGTGAACATAAGTAAGCATACATAATCCAAAACTAGTTTTGATAACCTATAGAACAGAACTGGATATTCATTAGCATAAACAGATCACGTGGTGAATATACTTGAGGACTCAACTGGATATTCATTATCTTGGTGAATATGATTGAGAATCCAACTGGATATTCATTAACATGAATAGATCGCGTGGTGAACAAACAGGCTGCGTGGAGAGAATGATGTATACAAGTGGATATTAAAAAAAAAAAAACGAAACATATCCTAACAATAGTTAAGGATCGTTTTAAGCAGACCACCTGGTGAGGATGGTGAAAACTAGTAAATAATTTATTTTTAAGGTACAATGTGTAACTGTTCATCTTTCATTCTGCCAAAAAGTATCGGTTTTGATTTTTTATTATCAATTAATACTAGAAAATGTTTATCATTAGAAATAACTTTTGGTAAATTTGTGAGCACGCATGGATATTAATAGTCATATGCAGAATTCATGGTAAAATATAAGTTATTATTCATAATCGAAGACAGACCAAGTGGCGAAAGTTAATAAAATGAACATATTAAATACTAAATTGAAATACCTTATAATAGACTAGCTCTGTGAAGGTGTTAAAGGCAACTTGTGAAATTCAGTACGAATTTTGTATCAAACTTAGACTGGATGAAAGGGAATATTGGTAAAATAGTAAATATTTTAATTTTTATTAAAGCATATTTCATAGCTCCTCACAAATCCCCACGTCTATAATTAGACGTCATTTATTTGTGGAATAAACATCGTTTTTACTGATGATTTTCAACAGTTTTCACAACGAAGAAAAGAAGTGAAAAAGTACAGTATACAGTGTTTGTAAACTTGCTAATAACACTTCTACCCTGTCAGATTTTATGTTGCTATATTTATGTATTATAGAACGATTTTGTTTTTATCTAAAACTCAAAAATATTAAAACTTATATTAAGTATGTAGATTAGATATGAATATGTTGATCTACCGAATTTCTGAACTGAAAA